TTGATTTTCATGAGGATGAACGTACAGGTGACATACATTTTCATAGGAACAGTTTCGCACAAAGACTCGTTTCGTCACAAAGGTAAGAGTCAACTTGGAATTGGCCTATTCATCCATGAGCTGGCTCAGGGAGCCTTTGATTTACCTCCCGTAAGGGACCACTTAGCAGATAATACAGCGGAAATTATCGCATTATCTGGTTAGTACAAGAGACGGGAAATTTCTCAATGGCAAGTACCGGATTTTTCCTCGAAATGAACGTTTCACACAAATAAAGCATTTAAAACATGGGTAAGTCTCTGCAGTTACCATATGCTAATGAGGCGAAATTTTGACCCAATATGGTCTAAGCTCGCGTAAGCGAACACCTCCAGTAAGCGCTTACGGGAGTTAGACTGTATTTATGGGGTGCATGGCCCGGCACCTAACATTGTCAATATCCCATTTACCAGGCAAAATAAACAGAGAGGCGGACAGGGCTGGCCGAGTTTTTCACAACAGTAACATTGTCCGTCTTCAATGAACTTAAGGCAAAGTGGGATGAGCCTGACATAGACATGTTTGCGTCAAGGCTAAATTACAAAGTACCTTAAGGACGGTGCCTACTAAATACAAAGGTTTTTGCGCCAGGTAAGGACCACGTGGGAAACGTAGACCTTTGGAAGGGCTATTAGAATCCACAGAGAAAAATTGGGGTAACCACGCATTTTTTCGAGATAATTAGCCTTGAATCTCAACAAAAATGCTGACATCAGCATTTTCTGAAAAAAAAAAGGGAAAGGATATTTCTTCACAGATTTCCTTCGAATTCACCTTTACAAACAGAAAGCAAACACATTTATCAAGATCTTAAAACTGCATGGTAAATGGTAACATAGAAACCATTTTTTTGTATGTTTTTAATGACAAAATCGTTGCAACAGCGCTTTTAGTGTCTCTGACAGCCTTCCGATCTGGTTCAGCTAAAATATAGTCTAAATACCTTTTGCTCACAACCTGAAACTAATCACGTGTTGAATAGGCTTGCCACTTCCATTTCATAACATGAAATGTGGGGGTAACCACGCGTTTTTTAAAGTAATTGATCTTTTTTGAAAACTTTTACGGTGCCCGTTACGTTTGTAACCTACCCAGTAAGTAAAAAATTTGCGTATTTCGTACTTGTTTTGCGCGCGCACTACCCCATCTGCAGGTACATGTTTACAGGTGGATTTCAGTATAATGATTTCAGTATAATTTTCCACAGAAAACAGCTAGTTTTTCAGCTGGA